TTTAGTAGGGTGGGTGCATCTGCCACACTCATATAGCCAGGATAATTATATAGCAGGTCTTCTGCAAGTCTCCTGTTCAATGAGTGTGCTCATTATGGGACTGAGGACTACTGCTGTATGAATGAAAAAGAAAGTGTGGAGAAACAAGAAAATGAGTACCACAAATCAAATAGTATTAGATGCCTACCCTGACTAATTTGCATATTTAATTTGAGACACAGGTTTCCTATTAGCCATGTCTCTGTTTTATTAAATACCCTGCAGTTTTATTTTACAAGTAGAATTCCTCTTTAAATGTTTAAGCCTGACTTTTGTACATGTATGTTAATTATTAGTTTTTAAAAAAGCTCCTTGTGACATTGCAAAATATTTTTCCAGCTTCCATACAAAAGAGCACTTTTTTTTCTGCTGGTAGAAGATGTTAAAATTTTTACTGTATTAAGTGGTCAGTGTAACTTTTGCAAAAGTTGTATACAAAAAATATAAAAGTACGCAAAAATTCCAAAGTACACTCTGACAGCTAATGCTCTGCGAATACTTTATTACACAAATTACATTCAGCTTCTGAAAATAGTGTTCTAACAGTGATACCATCTAAATATAAAACATCCCAGAAATACATCAAGTTAGGAAAAAGAAAAAAAATTAAATAGAGACATTTTTCTTTCCTTCAATGCAATATAATGTTAGTGATTTTAAAAAAATAGAAGAAGATTTAGCAGCTTCATTGTCTTGTGGCACTGCATTTTCTCTGTACTGCAACAGGTTAAGGACATTGAAGAGGAAAGGCACAAAACAGAAATTGGCAACTGAATAATTATGGGAAAAACATTTTGAAGCAGATAGTAAGACTTACTTATTTACAAGATCCCCAAATTCAGATGAGAATATACTACTGCTTTAAATCAGTGCTGCACTTAGAAGACTTTGCTTTATTTAGATGTTCACATAAAAAACAATGGCACTGATATGGAACTTCCATACACTCATCCACTTAAAAAACAGAACTAAAGCCAAACAAAAATTAAAGGAAACAGTTTACAGCCCCACACAGACTAGTACAGTGTACAATTAAATACACAAAATTTTAATCGTGCTTAAGGGAAATGGAATCTGACATTCTGGGTTGAATCATGTAATGGAGAACTCAAAGGCTGTTTTCAGGATGACGAAGGTGCTGGTGGGGGTGTAGGCACTGAACACTCTTCCTCTGAATCTGTGCCATCATCTTCATCTTTTTCTTGATCACTTCCTTCAGTGCTCAGTCGGTCAAACCCTTTTCGGCTGTAGCCTTTGTGACTTGCAAAGAAGTTCCCAAGGTTAAGGCCACCACCACTTTTTCCTGTGGAAAGGAAAGGCTTGTTTTAAGGTTTGCTTTACTGTAGGGCAGGGAATAAAAATCTATCTACTCATTCAACAGTGCAGTGAAGATTATTTTACGTGTCATTTGAGTTTTAAAGATCAGCACGTGAGCTACAAAAGCTAAGTTTAGCTTATGAAAGAGAAAGGAAATTCATCTTTCAACTAGAAGTTTCAAACAATTTTTTTCAGCATTCATTCTTTCTTTAAGTCTCTATGCAGGCTATTTGTGCTCCCACCAGTTTGCCCTTAGTCTTGAAGTCTTTCATTCACCAGATCCACAGATTATTACATTACATTATCATAGCTACTCTCCCATTGGTAGTGACATATCCTCTTCAGAGGACAGATAATGAGGGATGAAAGCTGTTGTAAAAGACATTCCCACAAAACACCTGAGGTTTGCCCCCAGTCCTTCCTCTCAAATCTGTTACTCAGTTAGAAGTAAATACAGGAAAATACCTTCAATTACTGCATTCTTAAAAGATCTTCAGTGACTTAGACTTACCCCTAAGTCTGCCTAAAATTCTGCCTGAACTTGAATCAAGTTTGTGTTCGCCATCAGCTGAAAAATAAGGTACATTTAAAAAAATAAGCCACAAAATAATATTCTATTATTAAATAATTAGCTTCATTTTCCAATACAAAGCACAGACATTCAACAAATTGATTAGCAACTCTAACAATCAAACCTGATACTTTTCAGCTTCTTAATTATGGAGAAATTAACAATTCCTAACAAAATTATGATACGATGGATGTTCAGTTTATGCCAATTCAGCCATTCAGAGGATTCGCACGTAAGTTATTTCTAAGAATTTAATTCCCTCAGCTGTTCACTTATATTACTGTGAAGAGTTTATAGGAAGGACAAGATCCTTGTCCACAACTACATTCCAACACAGTGCAAAATACATTTGAAATGGTATAGGTTCCCTTCAGAGAAGACTGGCTTTCTGGAACACAGTGATGTGTGAATTTCTTCAGGTATTTTGGAGGAACTTTCTCTCCCACCTCACAAATTGTTTTCTCCTCCCTTGTACCTCTTTCCATCCTTCATCTGAAGAAAAATTAAATTCCATGACTGTCTCTTCCTATATATTACTCAATTTCCATAAATCTGTGGAAGTTTACTACCAATGCAACTGTATCATGCTCTTCAACACACTAAATTCAAGCACTGTCTGAATCGAAAAGAAAGGTCTATCTCTGGATAGACCATATCCATTAATGGCAGTACTGCAGTAGTCTATAGTGTTGGCACATTTGATGTGGTAAACATGTTTGAACACAGTCAGGAAGCTGCACACTGAAATCATCAAATAAAATACATCCAATTCAGTCACAAAACAGTATTAGATCACTGAATCACCTACTCTGTAATAGTATGTCCTAGCCAGTGGCAGAACTGTTACTTGTCTATTCCATGTACATTTTATGCTCTTGATGAGAATATCTTGATATAACTATGTATACCATATAAAATAACAAGTGTAATGACCTACTGCAGTCTACCAGTTTCTCAAAAATAATGTTCTTATATCATCAGAATCACAGAATGTATTGGGTTGGAAGGGACCTTTAAAGATCATCTAGTCCAACCCCCTGCAGTAAGCAGGGACAATGTTACTAGATCAGGTTGCTCAGAGCCTCATCAAGCCTAGCATTCTAAGTACCAATTAAAGCTCAACAATAATATATAATATCTTGTAAATATTATCTGTTATTTTGTTTATGCCTTTATAAATACCCATAAAGTCTTTTGTTCTCAACAATTTAAAGATCTAAAAGTGAAAATCAAACTATGCTCAGAGTATGAAAATTTATGTATTCTAGATGATGGCATGAATATATTCTAGTCATTTCTGAGATACTAATTTTTGGCTTGACACCAATTAAAGTTTTCAGATTAATGTTCTGAAAAGGTGTTGGGTTGAGATGTAACATTAAAGGCATAAGGGGATGCAGTTGGTGTGTGCACACTGATTCTTAGTTTGCATGGAGCACCACAGTAACTGTTCAGGAGGGTAAAGGGACAGTAAGACTCTCTCTTCATGCCCTCATCCCTCAGTGTTTGGCGTTTTGAACTGGAGTAATAAAAGCCCATTCTCTAGAGTTACTCATGGTTACCTCCATAGACAGTTGTCTTCCTCCACTGAATAAATACTAAAATTGCCAGCAGGACAACAACAGGGATAATTAGAAGAGTTGTAATAAGAACAAAGGAAACTCCAGTGCTGGCCTGTCGAACCAAATGTTGTTTTTCCTGCTTATTTAGAGGATCTGTTGATTCCGGGTTGTTTTTCAATCTGGCTTCCACAAGTGTTTCTGATTCTTTAAAAAGAAGACAATTTCAGTATGTAATACATATTCATCAAGCAACACAAAAAAAGGCATTAAAGAACAATCTAGAATACCTGAACTATTGAGTGACAAGGACACAAAAGACAAACATTTATGGAGACACTTTTACCTCTTGCTGATGTTATTGCAAATGTAAGGCAGAGAGAGTCTGAATATCACTCACTAGCAAAGATTCCCTCCCCTTTTCTTGAAGGGGGAAAGGAGAGGTGTCAGAGTTTAGTCTTAACAAGTATCATTTAAAATATAGAAAATCCCCAAAAGATCTTCTTTTGCAAATAGGCATATGATGTAATATCAATTAAGTATCTACTTTTGATAAAAACACTTCCACAAGAAATACAGAAATCCAGTCTATGCTGTATTATCATGAACAAAAAGGAAAGCATTTAAAGTTCTTTTTAATTAGCTTGTGATGAAGGGTTAATTTTTCAAAACTGCTATATCCCATGAAAGACCTTTGGCTCTGTGAATCTGGAGAGCTTTTGAAAAGTGCATCCAGTCATTCCTGACTAATTTGTTACCTCTCTCCACCTACAAGGAGAAAAACAATTTAAATAAAATCCTCTATGCTGTTTTCTGTGTATAAAGAACCACATGCTTTGTGCTAACTTTTAATGAGTAAAACCACCTAGCTATATGAAGTCTGACTTAACTGCATGTCTTAAGAAGCAGCTGCATCAGAAACACACTTTGAATCAACTCAGTTTTGACTCTGTAACAAACTTAGAATGATATTCTGTTCTGGAAGAGTATCAAAATATTCAGTTTACACTTAACAATAACACAGTGCTAACAACAATGTCATTGTTATCACTAATATAATGATAACGTGCTGTTGGTTCAAGTAGTAGTTGTAGTTGCAGCCAAGAGCAATCTCCCTCCACCATTCTGCCCACCTCTGGGCAAAGATATGGCTCTTCAATTATTTTCCCAGACTTCACAGCAGTGCAATCAGTAGTAACAGTCTATCAGCAGGAGGCTGCGAAAGTGCAGGCCACTCGTGTCCACTTATTGAGCAGAGGATGACACAAAGTGCACTGGCTATCTGTTTACATCAAGTGGAGTTGAAAGATGTAAATATCAGTTTATGTACCCAAAGCAGTTTTAGAAATTGTTAAAAACTGTTTCTTACCTTGGTGATACAATTGCATTTTTATCTTTATATTAGAAATGTCAGCTAGTATGCTATCCTATTATAGAAAGTGGAAATGCATTAATATATCCCTAGGTTTGTACCATGGATGTTGGAATGTCAACACTTCCCTTTTGAGTGCTTCAGGAGGGCTGAGGTACCAACAGAGATAAAATAGAAGGATAACAGTTTTTACAATAAAGATTCCCTTGTTTCATAATGTCAGTCTCCTTTATTCTACCTTATCCTATATGCTTGCAATTGGCAGTTTGAATCTTTTGGTATTTTTCTCTGTCTGCATATACATGGCTAAAGGAAACCACACAAGCTCTGAATTCAACCAAAGAAAAACACTGAAGAACATTTGAACATCTTATGAAGGCCTCCCCATAGCCTGGTACTGTTTTTCTGAAAGGGAAATGAACTCTTCAACACAGAAGACCTATGTAACAGAATACAAATGGTTAAAATTACTTTTAATCTTCCTGAATTGCTATTTTACCCCTTTCAAACTTCTCTACATGTATTTATTTATCTTCTTATATTAAATTTCTATATGGTTTTTTTGGTTGTTGGATTTTTTTTTCACTGTCATATGATGTGACTGACAAGGATTTGCACTGAAAGACTATGCAGAAAGATAAACCAATTGTCACTTCAAATAACTGCTTTTTGATGGTTGAGGGTTGTAGAGCAGGGGGAAGGGTGCTATCACAGTCATATTTCAGAGCTATTTCTGCATCTAAGGGAGCTGACACAGATACCAATCTGGACCATACCAGATGGTGGTACAGAATTAATCCACTAGTTAAATTTTTATCTTGGTGTCTGTGGAGCACTTGTCATCACTGAAAAGGAAATGTTTAGATTGACTGTAAAACAGTGTCTACTAATTAACACTCTTACAACATGTTTTCTAGCCAGCTCATTCTATCCGTATGAAACGATGGTGAAATAAAGAACAGTGAAACTAGCTAGCATCCTTCCCTCCAACTTGGCAGAAGCAGTCCTAGCGTATGTGAAAATACTTGTTCCATTACGAATCAGACTAACCTTTTATTTCCTGTACCTCAATACCAGCCTTTTTAACTGACCGATGTTCCATTTCTGTAAAACAAAATTATTCTTCAGCACAACTGACATTTCAGAAAGACACTCAGTGACATTTTCCTGCCAGCTTTCTCAAATGTATAGTACAGTCCTACAGTAAACAATACCATCAGTATCTGAACTTCACCAAGGAGAGTCAATATAAACCATTCAATAGCTCACAACACCATGGGAAAAAAAGAAAAGACCTTGATTCATGAAGGTTGTTTGCAATTATTAACTCTCATGCCACAGAGATATTTTATGGGCACGCATAAAGGTTCCCACCAAAATAAAACTATTAATTACAATCAAAATCACAATTGAATAAAGGCTGGATGAATTAGGGCTCCTTAACAACTGCAGGTTTATACCGCAGCAAAAGCTAAGAAGAAAATTATATACAAGGACTTCCCTCATCTAACCTGTAAGTGATGAATAATTCTATTATTTTTTTGTTCTCATGTTACTTTGAATAAAAGCCTAGAAGTGTTCTTGTTCAGGTTACTATAAGCAGAAACAGACATATCCAGTCAGAATTATAATTTATCTGGTCCAGTTTCCAGTTATTAATAGCAGCTGATATCAGATGCCTCAAAGGAAACTCCATGAATTATGAACAGACAAATATGGAATAACTGGCTTAGTCAGAAGTTCATTTGTAACAGCAGACTCTTACTGTTTGACTAAAACCCTGAAGTCTGAAGCTTTATCACTCTCATACATTTTTTATATCCAAAATAATGTAACAGTGGATTGTATTTTTATTACTGTAAAATATCTGATCTCTGAATCCTACTAAATTGATATCTGACTGATCAGGTCCCTCTCCCTGAAGTCAGGCCACTTGGCTGGGGGATTACTAGATTAAAACTGGGAAGTGTTTCCACTTCACAGAAATAGGATGTTAAATAATACTAGATTCATTTTCTCAAGATAAATAATCCAAATAAATAAATATAAACTTTAAGTTAACTTGTGTTTTTAATTCAGCCTCTGGGAGTTTCCTACATGATAACCTCAAAGGAAGCCGCTGACTGGTCAGCAAACAATACATTAAAATAACTGAAATGCTAAAGAGTCATGCTTTTGTTTAAGCAGGTACTGACATGAGAAGGGATAGATCTACCAGGCAAACACATTTTGATTCCTCCTGCGACAAACTAACTCATGCGCTCAGGACTCTCCTTTGACAGAACATGCAGTGATGCTGAAGAGTGGCCTTTTAATGAAAACTGAGCAGTAGCACACAACTTCTGCAGGCAGAGCTTGTAATGTACTTAAATCATTGTCACTAAGCCACCAGGTTCTTGGCCAGTGGTACCAGGTAAGTGGCAATTATCTGAAGATCCAAAACATGAAGGTGTGGCATTAAGAACAAAAAGAACATACTTTCTGTGGATGCAAACTTCCACACTGCTCTGGCATGAACATCTCCAATAAATATTGTTTTATCTTCTGAAGCAACAACATCATGTGGCATCTCAAAGCTCTGTTAAGACAAGAAGTCACATATTACTCTTAAGTGTCTACACATTCATGAGGCCTCCTTAACCCTGAACTTGAGACTAGTCATAGTCCTTAGACTGGAAAATGTAGCAGGACCTAGTGTGAAGGCCTAATGTGAATGAAGGGAGAGGAATTGTATACCTGTTGTATGTTTGCTTTCTCTGGGGATAACATGGTTATTATTCAATGTATTAATGCTAAACATTTTTTATATTGATAGTATTTATATTCTTGCATCCAATTTTATTCTGAGAATTTATATTTAAAAAATCATTAATCTTGATTTGAACCCACATATTTAGTTTTTGTCAGAGTTTGTATGCAACACAGCTGTTTGCTATACTCAGGAAAAAATCACTCTCTCTAATATAATTTAAAACCAGGCAGCAAATAACAGAGTATGTGTTACCTAGAAATGGTAATCTTAACATTCATTCTTTAGTGTGGAAACATTTTTAAAAATATAATTTTAATGTACAATACTGT